CTGACAAAGAGACTGAGATAACAACACAGCACGGGTTAATTCCCTTCTCTCTCTCTCATTTCCTTATTAGTGCTAAATATCTGTAACACAATTCATCATGGCACTCCCTTGGCAGCTGCTGGTTGTTAACTAAACACATATTCACATCACATAAATACACTTTAGTGCTGTCTGTGTCATAAACTTCTACAGTGATCACATACTCTCACTTCACTTCCAGTATCCACCTGTCTCCTGGGTAGACAGTGAAACCTGAAATAAAACACATGGTTTGCGCCCGAGAACAATCACCAGCACCTAATGGCGGCAATGCATTTTTCATTAAGAAACGCAACTCTATTATCAAAAGTTGTTAAACTGCAGATTTGTAACAGAAGCATTCCTAAATTGGCTTGGAAATCTGAAGTTTGCATCACGTTTTGTCCTAGAGCAATGAGAGTGGCAGTGATGCTAATTTCTGTAACGGAGGCATCTTTCTGCTGCCAATAAACAGATTCCACTGCAGAATGGAGAAGGAGAGCCATGAGGCAGCCAGCACTTAAGGTCACTGTGAAACTCTTCTGGATAGGAATTAGTGACTGAAGCAGAAAGGCTCCCATTATTCATCCTGCAAAGTATCCAGTATCATATAAAAACTAATTCTTGAATCCAAACACTCTCCAACAAAAATAGTTCAGCAAGCAGCACAAAAGCGGCACAAAGGCAATCATGACACATGCTTTCCAAGCTCCGAGGCCTATTCCCTGTTGTTAATCTTTAGTTTAGTTAATTACTTTGATTTAGAGAGCAGCCCATCAAATGGAGAAAAGCGAACTTCAATTTTCAAAACAATGCATTTGAAAAGATGCAGTCTATTTTTGCCTTAAGATTTAGATGCACACCGCCAACATAATGGGTGCAATTATATTTTAAAGAAGTGTGCTCCTGATCAAAAAAAAAAGTGAGAGTTTTACAATCAAGCTTTAATTTTATTACCTACAAATCCAGCTTCTAGATTGTGCAATTAGGAAGATCAGATGCAGCACACATATGAACATCTTTGTACTTGTATTGAAATCCTTTCACGATTTTCATTTCATTAAAAGAGAATTCGGATGTCCTCAGAGAGCCCAAGTAACTACTCTGAGAAGTTAAAGCATTAAGAGAAACTCAGAATCAGACCTTAAAATTTCCTGTTTGCCTTTATTGTCTCTTTTACTCACAGTCTCTTTTACTACAAATCAGGCTGGTCACACTTGGGAAAGAGGACGGCCACATATTGGGACATAAGATCTAGCTGGAACTCTATTTAGAAGGATACTCTCATGAACAAAGCCAAGATTACTCTGTCCCAACTGCTCTCACAGTGGCTGTCTTTACCTCCAGGCCACTGGAGGTGGTCAGATCCACGAGGTGCAATGACTTGGTGAAGGTGAAGCTCGTAATGTTCAAGGGGAAGTTCTAATTCTGCAAGAAGGTCTCTTTACAAATTACAGGAATCTGATAATCGTCTACCGAAAGGAGAACTCGCCCAGAGACTAAAACACATGGATTCTTGCTAGCTGACGTAGTAAACCCAAACTTCCTTTCCCTTCACATATGAAGACAACAAGAAACATTTCTTCCTCAGGAGGAAGAGTTACAAATTTGGAATTATAGCAGGAGAGCTCATCTCACAAGTAATACCTTTGATGTCCAGAGCTCTCACAGCCACCTCCAGGGGAGAATCATGCACAGAGAGTTCATGAGTTGCAGAGAGAATTGCAACAGCAACAATGACAACACAACAGAGTAAACGGCCTGTCACTACAACAAGAGAACAAATACTCCTTAACTCAGCCCCTACAAGCTCATACTGGCTTCAAAACTTGTGAAAAGCTAGTACTAGCGAAAATAATGAAGAACAAATAGGTGGCTTCCCATCCTACAGAGCCTGAATAATATGCTATCACAAAACATAGGTTTTTCAACAGAATAATTAAATTCTTCTTTCTAAAAATTTACATCCAGGCATACAATCTTCTGCTCTATGAATTTTTACTTTTCTACCTACCATGTTCCTCAGCCATCACAACACTGCTTAGCTTCATGGCTTACAAAGACCAAGCAGACACCAAAGCTTTTTGGGAACAAATGGCACCGTTCTCATAAACTGGCTCAGCAGTGACTATATTATAACATGAGCAAAACGTGAAAGAAAGACAGGAAGATGTCTTCCTCCCTCCACTCACAGGTCTATCTTTAAATGGTCTTAAAAAAAACCCAGTGGCTGAGTGTTTAAGTAAATGCACGTTTATACTGTCATTAAAACATTCCCTTTTTTAGTATTTATTCCTATAATAGCCTGCTTCAGTGCATTCATCTCAGTGCTGGGTAGAGTTCACTCACAACAGCTCACAGATAAAGTTCCAAAGTTACGGAGGCCAACAGTTGATGGTGCCTCTTCTACAAGTTTTGATGCTGACACCGGCAAATAATAAGAGCCCAGAAAACAACCTGACCCTGCTCTGACTACACAAACCGGCATCCCACAGCTAAGCACAAGCAGACGGGACAACATCCCCTCAGCCACCACCTATCTGTCAGATCACAGAGGTCCCTCATACTACAGCAGTTTTAAACAAGGCAAGAGCCTTCTGACTCACAAGCACACAGCACCACCATGCCCACATTCCCACAAGAAGACCCTGAGCTCAGGGTTTGGTTTTTTTTTCGGGACAGCCCCTTGTGCTCTCCAAACCTTTCCCTAGCACAGGAAAACAAGCCCCCGACCCCTTCTCCATACATCCTCCCTTACCCGCTTCTTTCTCTAGCCCTGTTACCAGAGGGTTCCCACCCCCTTGACACTCCCCACAGCCTTTTTTTTCTCTCAACACCACTCCCTTTTTCACCAGAAGCAATGGCCCCTCCTTCCCCACAGCACCACCCGCTCACCAGGAATAATAGCCTGCTTCAGCCTCCAGCTCAAGGGGAACCCACAGCGCCCGTCCGAAGGGCAGCAACACTTTGGGCACATTTAGAATCACAGAATCATCTAGGTTGGAAGGGACCTTTAGGATCATCGAGTCCAACCATCAACCTAACACTGCCAATACCACCACTAAACCATGTCCCTCAGCACCACGTCTGCCTGTCTTTTAAACACCCCCAGGGATGGTGACTCCACCGCTGCCCTGGGCAGCCTGTTCCAGTGCTTGACAACCCTTTCAGTGAAGAAATTTCTCCTAATATCCATCCTAAACCTCCCCTGGTGCAACCTGAGGCCATTTCCTCTTGTCCTATCACCTGTTCCTTGGGAGAAGAGACTGACCCCCTCTTGCTACACATTCCTTTCAGGGAGCTGTAGAGAGCGAGAAGGTCTCCCCTCAGCCTCCTTTTCTCCAGGCTGAACACCCCCGGTTCCCTCAGCTGCTCCTTGTACGACTTGTGCTCCAGACCCCTCACCAGCTCCATTCCCCTTCTCTGGACATGCTCCAGAATCGCTATGTCTTTCTTGTAGCATGGGGCCCAAAACTGGAGACAGTATTCGAGGTGCGATTCTTGCTGGCTTTGGGTATCTTCTCAAATCCAGTCCTGCTGGCCACGCTATTGCTGCCACAAGCCAGGACGCTGTTCGCCTCCTCGGCCACCCGGGCACGGTGCTGGCTCATATTCAGCTGGCTGTCAACCAGCAACCCCAGGTCCTTTTCCACCGGACAGCTTTCCAGCCACCCCGCCCCAGCCCTGTAGCGTCCATGGGGTTGTGCAGGACCCAGCACTTGGCCTTGCCACACCTCATACCACTGGCCTGTCCAGATCCCTCTGTAGAGCCATCCTAACCCCCAAGCAGGGTAGGGTTTAACTTAAACGGGAAGACGGGCACCACCGAGAGGAGGAGGAAGAGGAGCGCAGGCAGCCGGGCCCGCCCCAGTCTG